AGCAAATTTTGGAATTATTATTTGAGCAAGAATTAATTTTGGGAATTACGTGCTGAGTTTATTCAATATTTTTGCTTTAATCTTTTTTCTAGATCTGGTTTGCATTAGTATTTTTTGAAGCATTTCCTACTGGATATGTTGTTTTTAAACCTAGAAAAATATTTCCACAGCAATGCAATCCAGGCGTTCACGGCTTTTTATAGATTTCAAGGAGAATTATCATTTTTTCTAAAAGGCTTCAAATCTTCTCTGCAAACTACACACAGTATTGAAGAGTATTGACAATTATTCATATTTTCTATATCGGCATGGAAAACAAGCTAAATTTGTTAGTCAGTAGTTTTTACTCTCTTTTACACCAAAAATCTCCATTTTGAATGCTTTTCTCGAAATTTGCATCATTTTGGAGCCTAAAAAAGATGAAATGGGTGGCCCCATTTTTAGATGGCGCCAAAACCACTGATGCATTTTTTGGGCCATCCTTTAGAAAGTTAATGTACCGATGTGGCGAACAAACTTTGAATGTGGATGCATAATAAGCAAGGAATTTCACTAAAAGTCCTTTAAAAACGATCTTTTTATAACTGTTTGGCTTAATCACTATGCGGAATGCTTGCCAAAGGAGTATTTGTATGCAAAATGAGCAATAAGTAAATGTTCGGTTCTAGTTTAGTTCTGTCCATAATCTAAGGAGAGATAAACCCAAGAAAACTTTCGCTAGAGTTCAGCTTTTATAGCTCAATCCATATATAGATCTACTCAAAAACATATAAATCTAGATCATCCGACTACTTCTAAATATTTTATCAACAAATATTTCATAAAATCAAAATCAAAATTGCATTAAAAAACAATCCATAAGATTTGAGAAATGTAACCATTTTTCAACAGTTCTTCACATGAAACAACCCCTCAACATTAACCACCTTTGAAGACGTCAGCCAACTTTATAATATCATCGAGAAAAGACATAGCGAAGCCTAAAAACTGTGATTACTGCTATACTCCTTAAAAAAACATAAATGAACCACTCACAAGCTACAGCGGCTATTATTGTCATAAATAGGGGAACGTAAAGACCACGAGCTTCAGCCTCTGGAATTGGCTCAGCTTTTTCATCATGGCGACGGATGAGCAGTTTACGGGCATCTCTCTAGAATCAGGTCATTATATATGTATAAACCTAATTTCATTTGCGTAGATTCACTAACTGACCCTGGCAGTGCAAGGCTCATAATTATGGCTTTTCTTCTCGCACATATCCCGATATGGTTTGAATGGTGCTTTCATAGCTTCGCTACCGCATGGGCATGGATGAAAACACGGAATATACTCAATGTAAAACTAAAGAAAAAGAATTCCAGTTTTATAGCACAGATCTGCGCTTACGCTAACCTTTCTCTCATCAGTGTATGAAAAGCAACCTGGTCCTTCGTCAAACATGTTCCGATAAGCTTCTTTCATCATTAATTCGACCTCACCTTCTCCCTTCGGAGAACTGTTTTCATCATGTTCTATCAATCGCGCTAAATCCAGGCAGATAGCACTACAAAAGGTTTTCATAAGAGTACAGCAAATAAGAGAATATAATAAATTTCATGTACAAAGGAGCGTATTTTCAATTGATGAAATTATATAAGGAGACCCGGGTGATTCTCAAGGAGGTAGAGACCTATTTCTACCGTAACCTATGTGAAGTAAGACCTATAAAATGAGGCAAAAAAATCAATCAAAAAAGAACTTGGAACACTAGAGTACTTCTTCTCGAATGTAAATGGTAAACCGTGATTGATTCTTACAATTGCTGGATAAAAGACTACGGTAAGTCATTTTTCTTACTACTGTAACATTCGTGGAGAAACGAGTTATTCTGTAGTCGGCCCCCTATTGCTGATAAGCAACACTTGCCTTTTTTTCATGATTGTAGATTGCCTTTATGATCGCTAATGCGCTTATTTGGTAAGTTGTTCTTTACACTACACTGTGTGCATTTAATCCTACGGTTGTCTACGGTGGAAGTGGTCCTTTACGGCTTGCTACCAAATCTCTAATATTGAAAAGATTATGAGTCAACCTATGCAATAACCGTCCACCACCATCTAGAAAACGATTTATGATTCGCTTCTTTT